ATTTAATTAAAAGTTGCTTAAACATGCAAAAAAAATCATAATAAAAGCTAATAAAATATATAAATTTATATAAAAAATTATATAAAAAATTTTTATATAAAAAAAATAAATCAAAACTTTTTTTAGTTAAAAACATTATAAGTTTAATTTATTCTAATTTATGATATTATTTAACTTGCTTCATAAGCTTATCTTATATTAAGAGCAAAACGTTGTTGAAGATAAAAGATGGAAAATCACTTTTGGCACTCACTGCTCTGTTCTTTTAGAAGTATTAAGAAGAGTATTAAGAAAATACTTTGAATATCCAATGTAACACTATTCTTACACACTATAACAATGATAAAAGACTATAACAATAACACTGCAATAGTTCTGCACTATAACACAGCTTAAATACAAAATGCATTTATAGAATGTTCTTCTAAACAGTCCATCAAAATATGTACAGAGATTAATTATAATTTTAATAACAAAAAAAAATTTATATATATTATAATAGTATTACATTATATATTATTATTATAATATTATTATATATATAATATTATTATATTTATATATAATTATAGTTTATATATAAATATATTTTTATATATATATATATACATTTATATGTATGTAATTATACACATTTATAACAAAAAAAGAGAATATATGTACTTCTCAACTTCCCCAAAAAACTTATTTTTTAACTTATTAATTTTTAAACGTACATTTAAAGCATCACTTATAAAGAAACAGCAGTGCTGTCAAAATGAAACCAATATTAGTTTCCTTGTTGCATATAACTTGTTTAAAAAAAAAATTATTTATACTAACCATTACATTCTTAAAAGACTGCAAATAGTGATTTTAAATCTGTGGTACCTTTCTGTTTTGCAGCTAAGTTATGAAGATCTTTTAGAGTAACTTTTTTACCTAAAAGAAAAAGTAACATTATAATAGGCATGCTATCGGAAAAATCTGTCCACCTTTTGCGGTGTGGTAAAGCTAGTTAACGGTCGTTTTTTGAAATTATTTTTTTTGTGTGTGCTAGTGTTTGTATAATAGAACATTTTGGCAGAAAAAAATAATTAAAAATAATAATAAGTTTCAAAATGTCAACTGAGCAAACTAAACAAAGATTTTTGATTGTGGACAAACACTTTAAAAATCCAACTTTATCGAATAGAAAGTTGGCGAAATCATTAAAAATATCAAGAAGAATTGTAGATACTGTTTTTAAACGGTTTACAGAACAGAAAACTATTCAGAGAAAACAAGGTTGAAAAAAGCGCACAGCAAATCCTAGAACTCTCGAACTGTTGGAGACTTCATTGGAAGAACATCCTGATTGGTCTCATAGATTTTGAGCGAAAAAACTGAAGGTTTCCATTTTTTTTTTTTATAAATGGCGACAGAGACTTGGATATCAAAGTTTTAAAGTAGTTAAAATGCCAAATCGCAATGATAAACAAAATTCAACTGCAAAGAGTCGAGCTCCAAAGTTGTATTACAACTTGTTAACAAAACATAATAGATGCATTTTGATCGATGGCGAAACTTATGTTAAAATGGATTTTTCTCATATTCCTGGGCAGTGCTACTATGCTTTTAAAATAAGAGGAAATTTGAGTAATAAATACAAGTATGTAATGACTGATAAATTTTCGAAAAAATTGATGATTTGGCTGGCACTTTGCTCTTGCGGCAAAAAATCGCTAATTCATGTTTGTTTGGGCACAATGAAAACTTCGGAATACGCGAAATGTTGTCTTTCTTGTATAAAACGACTAATTAAAGCTCATAGAAGTTCTTTAGTATTCTTTTGGCCTGATTTAGCCACAATAGAATACTCAAAAGATGCTCAAAAGTTTAACGATGATAATGGAAAGATGTTAGTTCCGAAAAAGATGAATCCTCCTAACTGCCCCAAATTACCTCATATTGAAAAATATTGGGCCATTGATGATCATACCTTCTAGTATTTTCAGAGTTTTCAATCATTCAACCAACCAGCAAGTTAATACTTAAAAAAATGTTAATCCTAAAAAAAAATATTTGTTTAAAAATGTTAATCCTTGAAAAAAATGTTAATATGTTTAATCAAGCGCGACAACGAGTATATAAAGTTTTTTTATTCAGCACAAGTATATAAATTTTTTTTTTATTCCATGTGTAGCAGTTTTTAGTATTTAAAAAAATGGTAAAAACTACAAAAAAAATTTCTTTAAGTAAATTAAACAAAGTCAAAAAAATTTTGTTTAAAAAACCAGTTGCTGTAAGTTTATTTTTTTTAGTAAATTTTTTTTAAATAAAAAATAAACTTTTAAAAAAAAATATAACTTTTTTTATAGATAGTTAAACCTTATATTCCTGAAAAGGAATATAAATTACCTCAAGTGTATGTACCTAGAGTGGTAGAAGACAGACCTCTAGAAGAAGTAGATGAAAATATGTATGCAGGCGAACTTGAATATTATGATGATTTACCAGATATAGATGAAGGTAATTTTTTATGTCATTGATTCTTTTTAAATTTTAAAAAATGTAAAATAATTTTGTTTAATGTAAATAAATTTTAAAAAAATTATTTACATTAAAAAAACAAAATTATTTTGTTTAATGTAAATAATTTTTAAAAAAATTATTTACATTAAACAAAATAATTTAAAAAAAATTATTTACATTAAACAAAAGAAAATGCGCATAATGCATGAGTATGAATTTGGGACACCAAGAAGAAGAAATCGATATTTTTGTCGAGGTTGTTGCAGTTTTAGTAATGATGTACATCAACATTGTTGTATCGACAGTGTTTGTGTATACGTGCAAGAACTAAATGAACAATGCGAAGGATGCTGTGTCTGTTTACTTTAGTTTATTTTTTATCAAAAAATTGTACATAAAATTTTATCAAATAAATTTTTTCATTTTTAAAAATGTCTTTTGACGAGTCGGACGCTGATTTGTTATACTTGTATCAAACGCATTTGAATTTAAAAAAAAATTTGCAAGAAACTAATATAAATCGCGCTATAGAAATGGATAAAATTTTTCTAGCTGAAGAAAGTGAATTAGATCACTGTAAAAGAATTTATAATATACGTATTAAAGATATGAAAATAATTCAAAAATATCAAATAGAATTGCAAAAAGTTCTAGAGTTGTTATTTAAATGTCTCCCGAAACGCGTATTTTTTACCGACACGAATTATCATAATTATAAGGATATTATTGAACATTGTCTTGATGTTTTACAAACCATGTATTATTATTTTACATGTGTGGATAAACTGTTTAAAAAAATCAAATATATAAACAGTTTAAAATTGCTAGTGGAACAATTGTCTTATTATTGTTACTGCTGTGTTGAAACTTTATATTTACAAAAAGATTTGTTGGAATGTTATCATATTATAAAAAATGAAAAAGACAATATATTGAACGAAAAAATTTATTAATGTAAAACTTTTTTTTTATATTATACTTTTAACAAAATTTTTAAAATTGTTTTCAATTTGATGAAATAGTTTTACATTTGTAAAATTGTTTGTTTGTTTTTTTATTTCTTCGTTTATAATGCGTCCCAACCTGTAAAATTCTTTTAGTACGTTGCAATAATCTTCACCGTACCGTTTTTCGGCTAACTTTATAAATATTGCATAATCGTCTGGATTAAAAAGTACCAGTCTTTCGTTATCAATAGTTGTTAGTTTCATTGTTTTATTTCTAAAAAAAAAAGTTAAATAAATTCATATTTATTATCACGAGTAGGTTTAAAATAAGGGTCTAAAACATATTCACATTGTTTAATAATCCAATCCAATAAATTTATATAAATTTTAAAAAAACAAGACATGACATTTCTATAACAATCAAACGAATAATCAGTAGCAATAAACATTTCTAGACGATAAAGAGAATCAAAAAGATTATATGTATTAAAAGTAATTGAACATAAGAGATTGGAATATTTAGTAATTTTATGTGTTAAATCTTTATATTCAAAGCATTTGGTAAAATAATCTCTATATTCAAAATAACTGGTATGATTTAAAACACAGTCATTAATTTCATTAAAAAAATAGCCTTCATTTGACTTAAAATGGGATAACCAATAATCATTTGACTTTAAAAACGGATATATTAAATCACGAATTTCTTTTTGTAGATTTGGTATAATTTCTTTTAAAAGTTTGATATATGCCAATTTACTTTTACATAATAAAGTTAATGTGATATTATTTTCGTTTTGGATTTGGTGATAAAGAGGTAACCAAACTGCAAATTTTTTTAACTTTTTCTCTGTTAAATTCGTCTCTGTTAAATTTGTCTCGTCTCGTTAAATTCGATCACGTTGAAGCGTAAATTGTTTATGCTTTGAAAGAAATGAAAACATTATTACAATCTAAATAAAATCATATATATTATTTCTATTTGGTTTAAACACATTTAAAAAAATAAATAAAAAAAAGCATTTTTTAATAAAAATTTTTTATTTGACATTTTAAAAAAAAATTACAAATGTTTGTTATATAAATTTAAAAGTTCTTTTTGTTTGTAAACAATAACTTCAGGCGGATAATAAGGTTGGTTTTCAACGATTTTTTCGTAAGGAGGTAATGATATGCTTTCTTCATACGAGGGAGGTTTAGCAATTTTTTTTACTAAACTTTTTGTAAATGTCTTTTCTTCCAATTTCGTTGAAAAGATTCAATAAAAGATTTATTTTAGATTCCAGTGTTTCGTATTCAAAATTATTGTAAATAAAGTTTTTTTGTCATATATAATCCATAAAATCTATACCGTCATCAATTTTTTCACTGATACCGTGTGGAATTTGTAGAATCATTTTCAATGTTTTTACGTCACGTGTCGTAATATAATCAGCCATTTCTCTCAAAATAAGAATATTCAAGTCCATTGTTTGTTATAAATCTAAAAAATTTTTTTAAAAATACAAAGTACAAATAGAGTTAACATTACAAAAAAAAATTAAAGTAAAGAAACGTGTATAATAAGTTTATTATTTATAATATAATTTTTGAGTTCTTGATGGGTTGCAAAATGACTTGTTCCGACAGCTATGTTGAACGATTGCGTTGGTTTTTCAAAGCATTTTTTGTTCGGTTCGCTATACAAAGCAATGTTTTTCTCAATACAAAAACCGTTATTTCTAATTGTACAAAGTACATTTTTTGTAAACGGCCATTTTAATGTGTTATCCATTGAAAATTGCATCAATTGAAAATAAATAGCCATGACATTTTCTTTATCGTAGTAACCGTAAATTTGCAATCGATATAAATAACCTTCAGCAGAATAAGTAGGTTGAGTATAGAAGGGCTCGTTAGATAATAACCTTAAATCCATTTGATCCAACTCTAAAAATATTTTATCGCGCATGACAGGATTTTTAAACATTTTGTCATTTAATTTGCAAAAAATTTCTTCAATTTCTTTTTTCATTTTGATGTTTTCTTGATTGATGTTTTCAAATTCTTTTTCTTGTAATTCTTTATCCACTTTGACTTTAACCATAAATTTCTCCTTTTCCGCATCCATATTGTCTATACGTTGTATGAGACCGTTTACTTGAGTATTAATCTTTTCCAAACTGTTTAAAATGGCGTTTGTAGACATGTTTAAAAAAGCTAAACTTTTTTTTTGGTCCATTTAAACATTCTCTTTGTTTGTTCATGATGCTTTTCTTTGCTTCTTCAAAGCGATTCCAACATTCATTAACGTGCTCAGCAAACAATTTTTTAGGTAACAGTTTTTGACAAATCATACACAACTTTGTTTTGTTTACTTCTGGATTTACTTGTTCTACCTCAAAAAGAAATTCGCATTCGTGATCCCAGGTGTTTTCTATATTTATTTTTTTACCGCATCCAAAACAGTCATAAGTTTGAATCGTACAACATTTTTGTTGATGTTCAAGAAATTCATCAATATTAATGGGTAGTTTGCGATAATAGCAACATTCTTTACTTTTCGATTCTGCCATTTTTTTTAATTGCTAAAAGAGTATTCATACATATTTAATATAATAAAACACATTTAATATTAAAAAATAAATATATAATTTATAAATTATGTAAATAAGGTTTTGAATTAAAAAAGTCAATATTGTCTATTTCCATGTCTTCTACATCATCATCATCATCATCATTATCATCATCATATTCTTCAATGTCATCGTCATCATTTTCATCGTATTTTTTATTTGTCTCATAATCAACGTCCATTTCATATTCATCCTCTTCATATTCAGCTTTTTCATCGGTTATATCAACGTTTTTTAAATTAAAGACGAAATTGCCATCAACAAACATGATTTCGTATGAAACGATAAATTTAACATTTTGTTCAGATGGTTTGCCATATTTGTTGATGGCATCGTTAACATCTTTTATAATTTTTTCCATTTTATTTTTAATTAATAAATCTAAAAAAAAAAATTACAAGTTAAAACAATATTCATAAAAAAAAATTAATTAATCACCATGGGTTCCTCCATACGGTTTTTTATCAATACATTTAATTCAGTAAGAGTGTTTATTAAATTTGAATTAATAAAAAGTGTTTTTGTTTTTTCGTCATTCAACCATCTTTCTAATGCTCGTAATATAAGTTGCGGATTGTATTTTTCTTCGTGATTTACTTGAAAATATTAATAAAAAGTTAATACGCGTTTTATTTTATCATAACTTTTATTGTAGTCATTATCAATAGCTTGAATGACGTATGTATTCATGTTTAAATAAACAGCAAATTGCGTCCAATAAGCTTCAAGATACTTTGCTAACATATTTCTTATTTCATTTTCAATGGTTTTAATTTATAAAATATAATCTGTGAAAAAAAAATTTTTTTTTTATAAATATGATTTACTTTAAAAATAATAAATAAATGCCTCGCACAAGATATACACCTAGATCAAAAGCTACTGTAGATTTTGTACGTACTACAAGAAACTCACAACATACGCAAACAGAAAATAGAGGGTTACCAAGCAATTGCAAAAATATATTAATATGTTTACGAAAAACTAAAAAAATATATAAAGATAACAAATCTAATCGTAAATTGGGACGCGTTGGTAAAAAAATAAAACGATGGAAAATATCAAACGAAGCTTACGTTGATCGAAAACACGAAAGAAATTCAGCGTTAAAAAAAAGAAAAAAGAAATAAACAAAAAATAAATTTATTTAAATATGTTATATTTTTTTATTTACAATTATTGTATAAGTTAAAAGAAGTTAAATCGTCTTTTAATTTTTGCAAAATAAAATTGGTTTTTCTTTGCCGACTTCTTATTAATTTATATTTGCTTTTTTTCTAAAAAAAAATAAAAAAATATTTTTTTTCATGTTTAAAAAAAAAAATTTTACATATAGAAATTCTTACCTTTTTTTTATCCACCTGAAAATGTACTGATTCTTTTGGCTCTTCTGCTCTTTCTATTTGAAACGTTGGTTTTTGGGTTTTTTCATCAAGTTTTTTCATGAACTCTTCAACGGTTAAATCTATTTCTTGAAACTCTAAATCTTGGTCATCGTCTATAACGATAGTTTCAATTACTTTAACTGCCATTTTTCGTACAAGTTTTGTTATTGCCGTTTGAAAATCCATATTTAAAAAAATGCTGTTTTTATGTCAAATAGTTAATCCCTACAGATTAAGTAAAATAAAAGAATTCTGTGACAAACAAGTTATATTTTGAAACTTTTAATCTTGCTTTTTACATAGGGATTAAGTAGGGAATTTTTTAATTAAAAAATGTGCGTAAACAACTTTAAAAAAACTCTGTGTAGAAAAAAAACTCTGCGTAAAGTGTTAAAATGACAATTTAAATAAATTCATATAAAAAAAAGAAGCTATTTTTATGTAAAATAGTTAATCTCTACAGATTAAGTAAAATAAAAGAATTTTGTGACAAACAAGTTATATTTAGAAACTTTTAATCTTGCTTTTTACGTAGGATTAAGTAGGGAATTTTTTAATTAAAAAATGTGCGTAAACAACTTTTAAAAAACTCTGCGTGGACAAAAATCTCTGCGTAAAGTGTTAAAATGTTAGTTTAAATGAATTCAAAACACGCTTAAACAACACGTCGACGTAGCTTAGCGCATTGTATCATTTCAGCGCTAAGTTGTAAACCGCCATGAACCGATCGTCTAGGGTTCGAATCTCTCTATAACTTTACGGCTTTAAGGTGGTCCTATACCATCAAACTTGTGTCACTAACGTTTGAGCTTAAAACACTTATTACTGCATTTAATAGGATGCCCAGATATAAAAAAAAAAATAATAAAAAAATTAAAAAAAAAAATTTACGGGCTTAATAAACCATGTTGGGACCCGAAATACCCTAATTACTGTTTCCTTAATAACTTTTAAACCATATTTACTCATTGAATAAAATTTTACAAAAAGTTTTGTTTTACTATGAAGAACAATTTGAACTAAAATCAATAAAATTTATTGAGTAGTTTAAATTTTATAGATAAAAAATCATTTATATCAAAAATTTACTATAGTTACGTTAGTTCTAAGACCAAAAATTCAAAAAATACAAAGTAAAAAACTTTCATTTTAGTTCAGGTTGTAGATCAAACCTAAACGAATAACTTGGGAAATTTTTAGATCAAACTGTAAAGTCTAGGAAATTTTATACTGGAAACGGTGAGGAAAAATAGGCTAAAATCAAAAACTGAGAAAAAACGAAAATAATATTATAAATAGAAAATAACAAGCATTAAAATGATATTACACATAAAAAAATCAATATGCTCCAGTCATATAAGACTCACAGTCATTTGTGTTTGTCTGTTCATCAATAAAACCCTTTCTTTTAGCTCTTAAAACTTTTCTTTGTTTTTTACAGAAACTACTTGACTTCTTGTTAGTTTTTTTTATTCTACATAAATCTCGTTTTGGACCATTTATGCAAAATGAAGCTCCAGGAGTAATGTTTAAAAATTTAAATACATTATGAAGTCCATTAAAACCATCATTAAAATGAATAATTGCTGAACAAACACCAATTTTAATTATTTTTTGACTGCAATATTGACTTTTAGGGCATCGAGACCAAATCATTGCATTAAGTGACTCATTGACATTCTGGGTCATTCCATGCAAACATTTTATCAATAAACTATCAGCACTTAGCTCCATAAAACTTGGTTTTAAAATATCTCTAATAGCAGCAGGCAGTGATAATTTAGGTTCATAATTTAACCTTTCCACTTCATTTAGTTTGTACCATTTGCACCAACTATCATTGGTTCTCGGACAATATAGATGTCTTTGAGCTTTAGTATCAGACTCACTACAATGAAGCAGAGCTGCAATAATGGCTTTTTTCATGCTATAAACTTCAGAGTTTTGTCTGATGGACATGCCAAAGTAGTTTTGCAGTAAATTAATAGCAGATTCAGTTAAGCGCCCTTTTCCAACAAGTTTTTTTCCATCTACTAAAACTTGTCCTTTCATACTCTGTCGTAGTGAACGTAGTCTATTCCCAAGTCTTTTTTGTATGTGACCAACACATTCAAGTTTATTAATAACAAAATCTTCACCATATGGCTTACTCTCTTCAACTTTAAGAAATGAGCTGCTGTCACCATCCCCAACATAATTTTTATAACGCAAACCGTTTTGATGAATTGATCGATGAAAAATTGCTATAGCTCCTTGTGTCTCCATTGAGCCTGCTGAGCCCTTGTGGTTTATTGAACAGTTATGGCTGCTGTTCCATATTTAGTATTCATTTGTGCCTTTTTTATTACGCCATGACAGGCAAGCTTGACACTTTTTTGAAAGTACTTCGTAGTCAATAACCTTATTGTTAGTACGAGATATTGCAGTAACAACACCATTAAGAGATTCATGACCTCTTTTTTGCCATGTCTTATCTAGAGATACAGTGCATTCAACAACTTCATCTAAATTAGCTTTGCATTCCCTAACCGCATTGGTCATACTTTCATTAGCAGCAGTCATGTATGAGTTTAACATTTTGTTGTTAATTTCGTTATAAGCTTTGAGATTTATAGGATCTGTTAAACTTAGTATACGCGAAAAGGTCTGAATTGATGCATGACCTTTGCCAATTTCTCGAAATGCCATAACACATCTAGTATTAATGTCAAAACATTTTTGACCACTTTTATTAGGTAAAATAATTTCTTTAGAGGTAAAAATATTTTTACTCCATTGACAATAAGTACAGGAAAATCTCAGTTTATTTGCCCATCCTTTCTTTTCTGTTGTTAAATTTTGAGTACACAGTCCCATTTGATTACATTCTGGGCAAACTGAATACAAACATATTGTTTCTGCCAAAATATTAAAGTCTATTAGCAAATAAGATATATTCAAATCTGCTTCCTTCACATTATTATTTTTCAATTTTAAACCACATGCTGAACATGGAGCTTCATTTATAATGATTTCTGAAGTAGATATTGGATTCTTTATTGTTTCTAGTGGAGCAACTACAAATCGATTTCCATGAAATACTCTTTTTAAAGGTTTGTAACCTGATTTTCTTCGACCCATAAAAAAAATTTTAACTCTAGTACCAATTTACTAAATTCAAACAAATTAAATGAAGCACAAGGTTAAAGTCAATTTGTTCTTGCAAAGTATAGCCAAAAAATGAGTTTAAAAGTTGGCAAACTATACTTTAAAAATGCAGTGTTAACATTTCAAAGATTCATTTTAGCAGTGGGTAAAAAAGATCAGCAAAAACTTTTTTGATTTTGAAATTGCCGTTGCTAGGGGCGTAACTATGGAAAACATTTTCAGTACTTTGTTTAAAATTAAAAATATACCAACTTGTGCTCTGAATTTAGTTAAAACTATTAAAAAATCTTAAACTAGAATAAATTTTGCACAAAATTAAGTAAAAAAAAAAAATTGAAATTTTCTTTTTTTAATGGTATAGGACCACCTTAACATTATATGTATAAACACATTGAGTTTCGGTGAATTCGCTGATACTTGATGACGTCTGTCTAGTTAGCTTAGTTAGTTATATGTTACCCACATTGAGTTTCGGTGAATTCGCTGATACTTGATGACGTCTGTCTAGTTAGCTTAGTTAGTTATATGTTACCCACATTGAGTTTCGGTGAATTCGCTGATATTTGATGACGTCTGTCTAGTTAGCTTAGTTAGTTATATGTTAACCACATTGAGTTTCGGTGAATTCGCTGATACTTGATGATTGTGTCACACTGAGACTCGTACTCTCGGTGAGTCCTGAGCGTGTATAAACGAGCGTGTATGTACGACTGGGTGAGCAGGCATAAGTAAGACATAAGACAAAAAAAATAGACTAAGTAAGTAAGGCTAAGTAAGTAAGTAAGTAGGATAAGAAACAACCGGTTGTAAAAAAAACAGAGTTAAAAATAACAAGTAGGCCTACTAAGAAAAAAACAAGTTAGGTAAGGCAGGATAAGTAAGGGCAGTGTCGGGTGACACAAAAATTTTTTATTTAAAAAAAAAAACATAAGTTTTTTTTAAAAAAATATAAGTTTTTTTTTACAAGTCAAAAAAAATGAGAAGAATTTATAAACGTAAAAATCGTTTAAAAAGATAACATTTTATATATAAAAAAAATTAAACAACATAGTCGATTAAACAACATGATGCATAAAGGTGGAAATGTTTTTAGAAGTTTAAGAAGATAATCATAATAAAAAAAATGTTAGAGTGTAATAGAGAGCATAAAAGTTATCATAAAAAAGTATATTGTAGTACATGTTTTGTAAACACACTTTATACTTTGATAGAGGAAGATTTGGATTATTATCAATTTTTATTAAACGCCCAGTTAACCACGACAAATGGGTCCCAGCTGGGACCCATCTGGGCGAAATGCTAGGACCCATCTGGGCGAAATGCTGGGACCCACCTGGGTATCTCACATGGGTCCCATTGTGATTTTGTAAATGGGACCCAACTGGGTCCCATCTGGGCTTAGTCTGGATTTTAGATGGGAAATCCTATATTGAACCCAGATACTTTTTTTATTTGCCGCGCGTCTTCTTAATTATTTGTAGTGTTTTTCGCAGATTTGCGATTTTAATTTATTATTTTGCGATCTCGCGTCTGCAAAATAAAGTAACTTTTTCGATTTAAAAGTGTAGCATTATTTATTTAAAATGAAAAAGTAAAGGTTATTTTATACAGTTTATATTAAATTCGCGATCTGGGCATTAAAATGTATTTGGCGAATGAATATTTGGTCTGACATAATTAATACGGATCAATTTAAAAAACAGATTTGAATTTTATAATATTTTTAAGCAACAAAAAACTATCATCATACAATGAATTGATTCAAAACTGTTCGACAATAAATATATTCTGTTACGGTAGTTCTCATATAGCAACCGTGATCGCATGACAAAATTCTTCTTTAATTTGTATCGTTTTGCTTCTTTAGTGCTTTCATCCATTTTTACACTAATTTTATAAAGTAAAAATAAAAAATTGAATAATATAATAATTTATAGCATATATATTTTTAAAGTATAGATAAAAATATTTTTTGTTAATTTTAATTAGGGCATACCATGCAGTGTGCTATACTATGCCATATCTTGCATATAACTAACAAGCACTAGGCAAAAAAAAAACACGTTTAAATCACAAGCTGACTCAATACAGTATATAAATCGATATAAGTGTAAAATAACCATAGCCAGATTGAAATATTCCCATAGTTTGTTGTTACAATAACAACATAAACAAAAAATAAAATAACAAATAAAAAAGTGAAATACAAAAACAAATACTAGAGAACTGGAGCCTTGATATGATACTATGTATAACAGTAACTTCTACAGTTCCCAACATCAAGTTTAAAAGTTTCTTCTTTCAGTTCTTCAGTTTTTCTAACAGGCATCCTACAGGAAATCTAAAGCAATGTTATTTTACAGTTAATTTTTGATGTTATTTATTAGGCCTGACATAAATAGACTTGTAAATAACTATGATTATAATTAAAATTACAAGATTATTATGTTACCAGTGCCGCCGAGAGGGTGGGGCGAAAGGGACAGTTTGTCCCGGGCGGCAGATGTCCGAGGGGCGCCAAGAAAAGAAATGTATCTAAAAAAAAAAGATCCTTCACTCAAGGATTCTGTCCCGGGTGGCGCGAAGACTCTCGGCGGCCCTCTATGTTACCATTTGAAATTTTAAGTCTTGAACAAGTTGACTAAAAATTTATTTTTTAATTTCATTATGTCTTTGAGATACGTTTTTTGATAATAAATTCAAAATATTATTATACATAAATAATTACTTTATTACAATGCAATTGATGACAATACATGATGCGAATAAACTATTAAAAATTGATTATTGGAGTAATAATGTATAACATACATGCTTTAACATATTTAAATAAATTAGTAAATATTATTCTACCAATCAACTGACAAATGAAAATAAAAATTACCATGGAGGTACCAGATAAGATTTATGTGAAAAATCCTGCAAGTGTGTATTCATTCCAAATCACGTTACACCTACTGTATATGTCCTTTAAAGGATTTTATTTTAAAAGATAAACTAGTTTTAATACCATCCACAATCCATTCACAGAAGCCCAGGTCAAAACCTGTATACTTAACAAATTCTATATATTTTTCATATACAGAAATTATTTTATTTATTTTATCAAACTCTGTTAATTAATGGTTTGAGATATTAAAACTCAGGTAAAAAAACCTTTCCTTACCTTTTTAAAACCTAAATATTGAAAATGATGATGTGAAACTTACTAGATTTAGTTGAACCATTATATGGAAGATGCAGCGTAATTTTGTCAAAAATTAACATTTGTTCAAGTATTGTAATTTCGGTTGTTAATCATAAATTTACACAGATCTCTAAAAACAAAACACAGATTAATAGTATCTTATTATTATATTAGAGATTATAGTAACCGCTTAAATAATTAAAAATTCACTATTCACTAAATGAATAAAAGTTTTAAACAAAATAAAAATTCATAAAGTTTTAAACAAAATAACATAAATATAAATTTAATTCAACTATTTAAAAATAAAATTATGTGTTGATAGACTGCGATAACAATTTTAAATATCTTAAAACCTTAAAATAAAAATGGCAGCTACTATTATACCCTTAATAATTTACTACTGAACTGCTGTATAAATTGTGTAAATAAAATACTATTAAATTCTCTATTACATAAATAACATATATGCTAAGCATGATGCTTTCAGAGCAAACTGACAAAAATAAACAAGAAGATCGAGAACATTTGTCAATACTTCCCTTTTTAAGACTAGCTAAAACGTTTGTAAATTGAATATCTGAATATTGTTATTAGTGATGTACCGATTGCACATATTTGGCCGATGCCAATGAATAGTTAAAGGCTGATGTCGACACCGCTGGATTAACTAATTATTAAATTTTTTGAAAATATAAAACCATACAATTTTAAGTTGTGTTTTTTAAATTCATTAAGTTAATTTTTTCAAGAAATCATAACTGGTAAACAAATACTTGGATCCAAATCAGATCCAAACCTATATTTTAAAAGCTATTAGAAAACTTCAGTTAAAATCATATACATTTTTTAAATTTTCAAGTCTAAAAAACTATATAATGCAGGGTAAAAATATTAAAATGCCATCAGTTGGAGAATCGGTAAACTGATTTAAAAAGGCCGATTAAGCTGATGCTGATTAATCAGTACATCACTAACTACAATCAAATAATATACACATTTTAATTAGAGATTAAAGATAGATTGGTATGTAAAAAAGATTTGATGCCTGTGGAAGCACCACATCTTTTTATAAAAGTGTTTCCTTTCTTATTTCTTCAAAATTTATTGAAATCGATAAAACCGCTCTTGATACACGCTACAAATATACCATTCATGGAACGCAGTACCAATCCAATTTTTACCTTTACAAAATTTTTAGAAAATATGCAAAAACATGCTATGAA